TTTAAAATTACTCACTTACTTATTTGTTCCATAACTAACATACTGTAACTTATCTTTGTCTATATCATATGTTATTTGAAATTGTACATATATTATACACACTACCTAGAAGGAAGCAAATTAATATACGCCTACTTGACTTCTTTCAGCTGTAGAATATTTTCGAAATAAATACTGTTTAAATCAAAATGAAATTAAATGGGGTTTACCGTCCTGATGTTCTTCACTAACCGGGTTAATGAGCATGTGCATTATGTATACGATTACGATTGAAATTTTGTCTGGAGAGTTTCAAGGGTTCTTTTACCTGCATACGTATACACAGGGCTGAACCCTCCCAGACACCTCATCCTACACCACGCTGGAAAAATCCCGATACCATGGAAGGGCATACACCATTCAGTGTGCCCTGATGGAAATATTGCCTGACAGGTGGCTAACGACCTACTCTTATTTCGAATCCATGCTGTCAGCGGTTCTTTTGCGTGCATGTCAACGTTTACACAGCGCCTCAGTTTGTCGTCCCATCCGAAGGACTAGACACTAATAGGGAAAAACTAACACCTTACTTTTTGAGCTACAGTGGTTCCCTATATAGAATAGAACACATATCTGTACTCGTAAATCTAATATGTCTAGACTGTCTTGTAAGATTAATTATGATAATTATTTCATTTTATTTCAGCAATTAAATTCAGATTTATGAATAAAATGGAAGTGCCTGCCGGTAAGTGTTTTATCTATCCTGTATACTTTAAGATTATAATTTAGGCTGTCTTTAACAAGGTAAATTATAGTTAAAGACCGTATCACAAGTTCCTTTATCTTAAATGAGTTGAAATGAAATGGGGTTTAGCGTCCTACTTTTCAGCACCGACTGGTATAAAGAAGACGGACATGTGCACTACAGTGTGCTTATACGAGGGGTATTTTGCGGAGATATGTCCAACTGTCAAGGTTTTTTTTACGTGCACCCCAACGTGTACACGGGACCTCGGTATTTCGCCCCATCCAAACGATTATAAACACCGTGCCTTGATCCTTGCACAACTTTCTCGGCCACCACCAGCATGGAACACGGGAATTCCAGGTTAGCGAGTCAAAGTCTCCCCCATTAAGACACCGCGGCACCTCCTTAATTTTAAAACCTGTTGGTCCAAAAAATGAATATAATAATTATAATGGTAACTAATGAACTTGGGACCTTATTCTAGAAAGAGTGGGAGTTGGGTGGCCGAATGGTTAACTAGTGTGCGTTGCATCATAAGGTCTATTGAGCCAAGTGGCGTGGTTTCGATTCAACGCTTGTACGTGACAAGGAGTAGGGTCGCCTGTCCTATCTGGTGGGTTTTCTCCGGAGACCTAGTTTGTGACAAGTGGACGTTAAACACCATTCCCCTCTCTCTCTCTCCCTCCCCCTCTCTCGCTCTCTCTCTCTCCCTCTCTCGAATGAGTAGACTTTTCATTGGCTGAGTACTAAGATCGTTCTAAATATTTTAACTTCGGCCAACGTAAAGGAGGGAATCGGTCATATTACAATAATTATTCTATGTCCAGTTTTGTTGGAATTTGTTGTGCTTTTTTCCTCTTTTTACTATTATTCTTAAGGGGCTGGGAAAAATGAAATTCCGACGATTATTTGTGTTCCTTGTTTCAGATATTCCGATAATAGAGACGTCACCTGCCATAAACACGTGTTCTGTAAGTAAAGAGAAGGATATAAACACAAAACTTACATCTGTACAGCCAGTAGCTAGTGTTGATGGTGTGGATAAACAGGACATGGAAATATTGTCTAATCACGATAAAGCGAAAGAAGCTGATAACCTGGACATGGAAATATTGTCTAGTCAAGATAAACCGAAAGTAGCGAATAATGAAGATCAAGATAATTATCGAGATCAAGATAAACTCAAGTATACCCTTGTTAATAGCCAGAGTCATGTAAGAAATGGCGAATATACAACACAGTATGACCAAGATGCGGCTAAGCATGGTCAAGATGAGGCTAAGCATGATCAAGATGTAGCAAAGCATGGTCAAGATGAGGATAAGCATAGTCAAGATGGGGCTATACATGGTCAAGATGAGACTAAACATGCCCAAGATGTGACTAAGTATGGTCACGATAAGGCTAAGCATGGTCACGATAAGGCTAAGCATGGACAAGATAAGGCTAAGCATGTTCAAGATAAGGCTAAGCTTGGTCAAGATGTGCCTAAACATTGCCAAGATGGAGCGGAAAGTTGTCATAGTGGTAGTAGTTATACACCAATTAGTACAGCATCATCACATAAACATACTGATGATAGTAAGTCGATGTCAAGTCATTCATCAGATGATTTCCCACGATCACCACGCATTATCAGATTTAATCAAGACGTTATGGGGGCTAGATATGAAGATTTGGCACAAAGTACTTTACCTTTAAAAGATTATTCAGGTGGTAAGTTTAACTAACAATAGTTTATTCTTGATTTGACCGAGAAAGTTCCTTGCGATTTTTCGGGGTAGTTTCCCATTGTCAGTGGTGCAGGAAGAAAACCCAATGCAAAACATACAGTGAACCCGTATACAGGGGTATTTGATACACTAGCAATATTCATACATGCATACTTAAAGGAAACCGCGGTGACTCGGTGATTAAAGCACTGGCTTGCTAACCAGGAGGTCTTGGTTCCGGGGCCCACAAGATATTCAGCTATATTACTCACAATATTATTAAAACTCACCCCTTGCCAGAAATACAGTAGCTTCAACAAAACATTTTTGGGACCAGTGTTTATGTATCACAGAGGTATTGAATCTTGAATAATGAATGATAACATTGTGTTTTGTTTTATTTTATAGATAATTTACGAGTATTCTGGAGAAAAAGATTCAGTGAAAGAGTCGCGGACACATGGGCAAGTTTTAAAGGACTTTTTACATGCTGTGTGAGAACTAAAAGGGCAAAGAAATCAGCAGATTGGAATTGTTGTGGAATAACCACTTCAGTATCAACAAGTAGGCCAGTCGGCCATGAAACAGAAATATCAGCGCGCGTCAGCACAGCGACCATTTAATAAAATGTCAGCACTGCGGTTGGCATATTAAAGTATATCAAAACGGTGGTGATGTCAACGAATAATAGAGAATAATAGCACCGTTGTCGTGGTAACGAACATTAGCACTGCGGCTATTTGATAAACTGTCAGTACTGCGGTTGCCATATTAAAGAATACCAGTGGTGATATCAAAGACAGTAGATGTTAGAGAATATCAGCACCGTTGTCATGGTAACGAACATTAGCACTGCTACCATTTGATAAACTGTGAGAACTGCGGATGCCATATTAAAGAATACTAAAACGGTGGTGATATCAAAGACTATAATAACACAGTAGATGTTAGAGACTATTAGCACCGTTGTCATGGTAAAAAAGAAATATATTAGCACTGCGGTCATGTTAAAAAAAAATATTAGCACTGCGGTCATGTTAAAAAAATATCAGCGCGGGGGTCATGTTAGATAATTTCAGCACCGTTGTCATGGTAAAGAATATCAGCACCGTTTTCATGGTAAAGAATATTAGCACTGTGCTAGAGAATATCGGAACCGTTGTCGTGGTAAAGAATAACACGGCGGGCATGTTTAAGAATATCAGCAGTGCGGGGAACTTATTGTTTAAGACTACCAACACTTCCGTCATATTAAGGATGCCAGGAGGACCGTCGTGAAAACACATGTTGCGTCGATAAGTAAAGTGTGCCACATGGACTGGCATGGTCGTAACAAGTAAGCACAAAATAACAGATGAGTGTGATGAAAATTTGATGGGCTATACATTTCTAAAGATTTATTTTTTTTATAATAAACAAATAAACTCATTACTTTATTCTGTTTTCATTGTAACTTGTTGGCTTCTTATTAAGCGTAGAGAGCCGCCGCGGCTCAGTGTGTAAGATGTTGGTTCGCTAAACTGGTTTTGGCCGAGGTCCTGGCCAGGACAGCTGTCTAGTCGTTCGGATGGGACGAAAAACCGAGGCCCCGTGTACACATTGGCGTGCACGTAAAAGATCCTTTGGCAGTTGGAATTCGATATACGAGTAGACCGTAGCGCCGCTGTCCGGGCAAAATTTCCTTCCTATATCAGTGAGTAAGATGTTGATTCGCTAAACTGGTTTTGGCCGAGAAAGTTCATCGGAATTTTCCGGCGTGGTTTCCCCCTTGTCAGTGGTGAGGGACGGAGGTCCTCAAAAGGAAAGCTGTCTAGTCGTTCGGGTTGGACGAAAAACTGAGGCCCCGTGTACACATTGGCGTGCACGTAAAAGATCCTTTGGCAGTTTGAATTCGATATAAGAGTAGACCGTTGCGCCGATGTCCGGGCAAAATTCCCCTCATAGCACACTCTATGGCATAGCCCAGTCGTAGCAGAACAGTAGAACGATATACCCCATTTCATTTCATTTCTGGTTTCCTTCCACTGTTAACGAACCGTACCAAAACAAAATAGAACCATATGTTAGTCCCATATGACTCATAGTGGACGTCCCCCCCCCCTTTCAATCTCTCTCTACCTCTCCCTCCCTCTCTCCGTGGTATACTTCAATCCACCCTGTTCCGCGGGTTATTCGTTTGGATGCACGTGTTGAAACTTTGCGACGGCCCCTTAAACTGCTGTGTCAAAATACCAGTGAATCTAATACTGGTTGTTTGCCTAACAAACAATGTTATAAGCTCTTCAAAAGTACGCAATAAAGTTGTAACAGAATTTACAAGGCATTCGTCAAATGCACAGTGGTAGTGATTCGGCTATTATGTTTTACGCCGATCGTCTCTTGAATCTTCCCTTCTTCTCTGACATAATTACACGAATCTTTTTATTCGTCGTGACATTTAATTTTTACAAATGCAGCACAATAAACAGAACAAATTAAATTAAATGCAGATAGATTTTTATTCTAAGATCAAAATGAAAATAGCTTTCAGAAAGAAGAAAGGTTGAGTGATAGGGAGGATTGGGGATGGGTATGGCGGCTTCGGGGAGGCGGGTAAGTAGAACAAGCATGGTCGTTTTATATGCACCAGGTACCAAACATGGCGCCAGAACAGCATGATGAGAGGCGCTTGAGCCCAGTTCCTGTTCAGAAATGTGGATTGTTGATAAAGTGGCAATGTAATATGGTAGCTAGGATTAAAAAAAAGTTTATGGTAATAATTTATTGTCGTTACAATAATCAAAGATTAATGTGAATCTGGGTTTTTAACTTGCGGTGTAGAACTTTTGAACGGGAGATGTAGATTCGAACTTTTGAAAGTGTGGTGTAGAACTTTTGAAAGTGCGGTGTAGAACTTTTAAAAGTTGCGTGTAGAACTTTGTTGACTAATAATGACGACTTTCTCCTCCTCTTAGCTCGAAATTAATACATGAATCACCAGTTGATATTCCACGTTTCCCTATTCTCCAATAATCAAATCTATGTCCACGTTTTCCACCATGGTATTTCACTAAAAGAAAATGCGACCATACAAATTAAAATTGTTATATTTCTTTTCTCTTTTGGAGGTTGGGTAGGGGTATTTTTGTATGTTTTGATTTATATTTTGAAGGTTCTTTGCACGTGATTACATTAGAAGTTCTGAGAGATATATCGGGAATAGGGTGGCCCGAGACATTATTCACCAATATAGCAAATCTCCTAAAACAAATGAACTACAAGCTGGAACTGTAGATACAAGTTATACTAATCACTAAACTGCAAGCCAGGGCCCTGTTTCACGAAAATGTAACAAAAGATAAAATCCAAATTTTAGTAGATACTTAAATTTGATTGGCTAAGCACTAAAATCAATCTAATATTGTCCAATCAAATCAGATACAAGTTATACTAATCACTAAACTGCAAGCCAGGGCCCTGTTTCACGAAAATGTAACAAAAGATAAAATCCAAATTTTAGTAGATACTTAAATTTGATTGGCTAAGCACTAAAATCAATCTAATATTGTCCAATCAAATTACTAAAATTTGGATTTTATCTTAGTTAAAATTTCGTGAAACAGGCCCCAGAACTGTAGATACCAGTTATACCAATACCACAGATTTCTTAAAATCATTGAAGTATTGAACTACAAGCTGGAACTGTAAGTACAAATTATACCAATACCACAGATCTTTTAGAACTACTGAACTACAAGCTGTAGATACAAGTTATACCAATACCACAGATCTATTAAAATCACTGAACTAAAAGCCAGGATTGTAAGTCCTTTACTCGGTCTCTGATAGTGTGTTAGATCCTCGGCCCCACCCCCTTAGCCGAGATTCAGGAGGTCTCATGAATACCCCACACCCCTGACAGGGCATGAATATATCCTTAATCTTTCCCAAAATATGACTGAACCACCAGCCAGTATGTAAGAACTGCCATGTCCTTCAATGTATATAAATGAAATAATAACTTACTTCTTTTGTTTTCGCACATTTCACCAAAATATGGATGGCAACAATAACAATCGAATCCGTCAAATTCGTCGACACAGATTCCCCCGTTTATACATGGGTTAGGTTCACATTCATTAATTTCTAAAAATAAAAATAACACAAATCTGACAGAAATATAATTACAAATTCCCATTCGTTGGCCATTAGAATATGAATTTTTGACTTGGATCCAAAATAAAATGATCGATTTCTTTCAATTTCATCTTGATTTGTTCTGGAGGATGATAATTTTTCTTCGTTAAAAATTGCACGATTTTGTGTTACACATCGGTACATTGAGACAGAAATAAAACTGAAATTAATAAACAAACTGACTTCCCAAATAAAACTTTAATCGTAGCCTATAGAGCTTGCCCATCACTAATAGGATTAACATATCAAATAATCCTATTCTAATACTTTATTTCCGATTTAAATTGAAGAGATTCGACTGATTTAAGCTCCAGAAACAACTGTCCCGAAGATGACATGACAAAGTTCACGTCTTTGAAAGAACAGGTTCATCGGGATTTCCATTTGTCAGTGTAGCAGGATGGGAGGCCTGCCTAGGACAGCTTCTAGTCGTTCGTATGAGACGAAAAACCGAGATCCCGTGTACAAATTGGCGTCAACGTAAAAGATCACTTGTCAGTTAGAATTCGATACAAGAGTAGGTCGTGGCGTCGCTATCCGGGCCAATTTTACCTCATAACACACTATGGCGTATGCCTGTCTTCATTAGCCCAGTCGGGGCAGAACAGTAGGGCGTTAAACCCCATTTCATTTAATTTCATTTCACTTCTAAAAGAACAGAACTGTTCAGGTTTTAATCTGTAAACGAGGACTTTAAACCCAATTTCATCTGATTACATTACATACCAACATCACATGATTTACCTGTCCAACCAGGTGGACAAGTACAACTGAAGTCATTAACTCGATCACAACATATTCCATTATTATCACATGGTGAACTACTACAATCATCTATGTCTACAACATAATAACATAAAATAATTCAATATATTTTACACAAAAGCATATGTTACAATTACATTCACAGATTTGATATTTGTTGTTTATTTATTGCAATGTCTGTCAAGGCTGTCTTGTCCGCAGGTTTATCCAATCTTTTTTATCTTGCGTGTAGTTCGGTTCTCCTACACTTATTATACAATAATTCAATGTACATGTCTGCTTTTTTTTTTGTTACTTTGTATATTTCCTTTCTGGTATAGTTGTATCGTTGTAAACGCGTCATATATAAATGGCAATCTGTTTTACAGAACTAATGCGACATCCGTCTTTTATCTCTGTCCAAGATGACGGACCTTTAAAAGGTCAGACTGCTATAGTCCTACGGGTGACGTCACATCATATTGTTTACCAACAAAGCAAGATGCGGTATCTCACATCTTTTTGGTTGAAAAACCGGTCGATTAAGTTTAAAAACACAATATTAAGAATCCTTAATCAATTATAAAAGGTGTTCAGTACAACAGGAAAATAATCCAAATGTTTCAAATGCAAACAAACAGATAAAAACGTCAAATATGAACAGGTACGGGCAGAATTATATCGTTTTACCCATTTTACGCCTCCGCGTACTATTTTCTGTACCTATTTACGCTAAATATGGAATATTTTTTTATCCAGATATACTTCAAACACCTTTATTTATTTTTCTAATACTTAAAAAAAATGTTTCAGAATTTAATTTGTCGAAAGAAAAAAGTTAATATTTTGTAGTCATTAAGTCGCATCGATGTCATCCTTATCAGTGATTGTAGCGGCCAAGCGAATATTCACTGCGGATCAGTGTGATATAGAGGCTGCCCCAGCTGGATTCTGACGTTATATAAATTATTTTTTTAAAATCAATATTATATCATTTTACACAACAAAATTATGTCACAACAGCTATTCTTGCGTCCGTCCTCTTGTTTCTAGATCATTAATGACGGAGAGTACCGCGCGTCCTCCTGTTCCTAGATCAATAATGACGGAGAGAGAGAGAGAACTCAACACAAACTAGGTCATTTCGGGACTCACATATAGTTCAATTTTATTTCAATAATTTTCTTACGCGTAGGGGTCTTTAGTAGTGGGAGGAAACTGGGGGACCCGGAGAAAACCCACGAGGTTGCACAGGCGATCCTAACAATTGTCACGTACAACCGGGGAATCAAAACCACGCCACACACGCTAACCATTCGGACCCCCAATAATGACGGAAATCATTGATCAAGACCACCGACGTCGACAACTTTTAGACTGTGTGAAATATGCTTGAGTCGATTTGTAGCATATTTGAACGACGGTATAATTCTGCCAGTGGTTGAGCAATATGATCATAGCATTGAAAAACGCATTGAAATCTAGTGATTTTTACACTAAAAAGTTTTATAATTTTAGATACCTAATAATCAGAACTAAAATCACGAACTTCAAATTTAGTGAAAAAGTGAAAATAAAAATTATGTAAGATGAATGCTTACTTTCTCCACATGTTATTCCTGTAAAGCCTGGAGCACACTGACAAACAAACGTACCCTGTTCATCCAAACAAGTGGCACCATTAGAACATAAATCTGGGTAGCATTCATTGATATCTGAAAAAAAAGGAGAAAACAAGTACAATAGTACTATATGGACCAACCAGGAACCGAGTATATCTGTGCGCAATTGTCCAAGGAACAGGCATACCCAGTGTCATGTTAATACTACTTGAATTGGCGGAGCCTTAGGCTTTTTTTCGAAGAGGGGTCGCCCCCAAAAAGACGCGATTCTACTTACACCACCTCAGTTGTCTGAACTGTAACAGGACTATGCCAGAACTAAATTCCGCGTCACTTGATTGCAGTTCTGTCAATTCCGGACGTTCCTGACTGACAATCTATCATCCCTCTAGTTACAGAATAATGGTAAGGATTATTTGTTTCAATCTGTGTTTGACGAGTTCACATAACTATATATATATATACTTACTTGTTTGGCAAAGGGTACCTGTTAAACCTGCGGCACAGACACAGATAAATCCAGGTCCACCAATAGTGTTAACACATTCAGAATTACCCTGACATGGCGAGCTTGAACAATCATCAGTTTCTGGAAGAGCGCAAGAAAAATATTACATTATGTACATATATATTCCTGGGGGTCTCGGTTTCGCTCCGATTGTTGGCCCCGAAAGTTCCCCTTTAGATTTTTCTGCGTTGTTTCCCCTTGTTAGTGATGAATGGACCAGCGTCTAGTCGTTCGGATGGAATGATAAACCAAGGTCCCACGCACACTTTGACGTTCACGTAAAATAAGAGGCGGCAGTGCCGTTGTCCGGTTGGAGTTTAACAGTAGGACGTGAAACTTCATTTCATGTCCATTTGAAATCTGACGAAGGTCCCAGTAGGCATACATACACGCTGAGCTTTTTAAAGAGAGAAACCTAACACCCCATTTGACGTCAAATTTTATTATGAATTAATTGACGCAAAGCATTAATTGTGATATCACATATGGCAGTACCATTATCTCGCGCTTTGAATGCCCATACCATCCCACCATCTGATGATAACGGATGAAGCACACGGCCATGACACTTTCTCATAAAAGTGTTGTTTTAAAAAAAAAATATGTAGCTGAGCGGGAGGTCCCTCCCTCTGGATCCACCCCTGGTGTACTGCCTGAAGACAATGATCACAGTAAATAATGGCAGTTGGACATTTGATATCAAGTTATTGATAATTTATGTTATGAACATACCACATTCACAGAAGTCTCCTTCAAAACCACTGGCACAATGACATGTTACTGAATTCACGCCGTCCACACATTGTCCACCATTTTTACAAATATGTGGCGTACAGTCTTCGATATCTGTAAAAATAACAAACTTTCAGTTTCGGAAAATTTCTGCAAATAACAAATTGTATTTATTTCAGTAAATTACCAACTTTAGTTTATTACAGAAAATAACAAACTATCCATATGAGACTTAGCATGGCTGTTCTTTGGACAATTGCGCATCGATAATTCGACTTCGATTATAGCTGCGATAACGTTCATTGGTCCATATAGTACACGGTTACTTGTTATTAGCAATATTTCATTAGTGATTCAGTCTGGATTGCTGCTGGGGGTTAGTTGGCCGAATTGTTAACGCGTCTGCGTTAAATCATAAGTTTTGTCATTGAGTTAAGTGGCGTGTTTTCGATTCCCCTCTAGAAGGTGACAAGGAGTAGGTCTCCTGTTCTACCTCATGGATTTTCTCCGGGTCCTACGCCCCCACCCCCCAAGCCAAAGACCCCTACCCGCAAGCGAATTATTGATATAAAATTGAACCATATGTTAGTCCCGAAATGGCCTAGAGTATGTCGAATGGACGTTAAAGCCCATTTCTCTCTCTCTCTCTCTCTCTCTCTCTCTCTCTCTCTCTCTCTCTGGACTTTCCTAAATGGTTTTCCCTTTTCAGTGGTGCGGTACGAGGGACCTGGCACTGAACATCGACTAGTTTTTCGTACGGTATGAAACACCGGCGCCCCATTTACAAGTGGGCGTACACGTAAATAAAACCCTTGATAATTGAAATTTGATCAAGAGAAGCCGGAAACGCCCATGTCCAGGCAAAATATCCCCCATAGCACAATGTATGACATATGTTTATCTTCATTAACCCAGTAGGGACGTTAAACCCCATTTCATTTCATTTCATATCTTACTTGTTTGACAGGTTGATCCAGTGTACCCTGGTGCACACTGACACACAGATTCTCCTAATAAATCTATACAGGTAGCACCATTCATACAGTTACCAGCTGGGTGTCCAACACACTCATTTATATCTAATAAAATTGACAAAACAATTGAACAACTATTTATAAATGAAATATCTCCCATCAAACAAGGCCGTCTTAACGCATGGACATACTGGGCAGATGCCCGGGTAGGCCCACCAGCATAGGAATTCCATGTTAATCTACGTATCTTATGACTTGCTGCCAATAAATAAATAAATACTATACTAAACTACAATAAAAAATATGTTTAATTTTAGCGTTCATTTACATTTTATTCCTGTAAGTGGTTGTGCAGGTATGGTCTCCATAAATTGTATAACAGAGCCTAAAAACGCTGGCCGCCATTTCGCTGAGGTATGGTCTCTATAAATTGTGTAGCTGAGCTGACCATCATTTGTGGGATTGTGAATCCCTAGAGAAAACTACAATATTGTGAAACTACAATAATGTGAATCTCTAATAGGAATTTCAGTCCAAAATCGTTCAGTATGTACGATGAATAGAATGAACTGATAATTTCGCAACATTCGCCATTCTTTGCACACGTGCTGGATGAAAGCTTTTAATGGACCTCTTTCTAATCGGTTTGAATCCAAGCCAGGAGATTTTTTACAGTTGATGTTCTGATTTGGTTTTCTTAATTAAGATAATTTTCATTAATCAATTTGGGTAAATATTAGCATTCATTAAGCCGTGAACAATTAAATGTTGTCCGAAAGGGGCGAACAACGGATTTAACATACCCGTAAAATGGACAGACTAATACTCGAATTACAATCGCAGAAGCTGAAAGTAACGTTGTCTAAATACGGAAATGATAAACTTAAGGCCGTAATAATTCCCCAGTGTTCCGTCAGTCCAGTAGAAGTCAATGTGGAGCTGGATATATAACTTTCCATTATTGGATGATCGGTGCCAATGTTAACATCAACATACTTGTTTATCGACTAGTTTCCCTTTTATCAAATCTGCAATATTAGCTGAGGCAGACACAGACGTGACCAGAATGTTGACAGCAGTTTAGCTCGGTTTGGGGTGGAGTGGGGCGTTTTGTACTTTACCGAGAAACGGAAACATGTCTGCCAGAAAGTGCCCCCCTCCCCCTTTGTTCACAAACGGAGGAATAACACGATTTGATGATACATGATAAAATATTGGGAAAGAAATAAAACCCCAAAAAGCCCCACAGAAATAAACTTTACCTGTTTCGCAGTTGGCACCTGTTCTCCCAACAGGACACACACACGTGGTACCAGGTCCATGTAGTGTATTAATACATTGAGCGTTGCTCTGACAAGGTGTGTCTATTCCACAGTCATCAGTTTCTGCAAATTTCATCATTAAACTAGTTCAAATATAGAATTATTTAGAAAATGTTTTAATTAAGGAACGTTTAAAGATGCACTTTGTAAGAGTTAAATCTGCCTATTACAGCATTGAGTCAACTGACATGGTTTCGAATCCCCGGTTGTACGTGACAAGGAGTAGGGTCGCCTGTCCAACCTTGTGGGTTTTCTCCGGGTCCTACGGTTTCCTCCCACTGCTAAAGACCCCTACGCGCAAGCGAATTATTGAAATAAAATTAAACCATATGTTAGTCCCGAAATGACCTAGTTTGTGTCGAGTGGACGTTAAACCCCATTTCTCTCTCTCTCTCGCCTATTACAGGATTTTATTTTGGAAAAGTAATAATTATGATGCAACGCACACGCGTTCACCATTCGGCCAACCAATGCCCCCCCCCCCCATTTCGGAGATGTTTAATCAAGTGATATTTTAATAAAGAGCCATTTTAAAAATGGTTAATCACGATATAATGTTTACAGAGAATTTTTCTTTTAATTACCTTCCCAAACCTTCGTCCTTTTCCACTGGCAATTTTTTTTTTATATAAACAATATTTTTATTCAGGATGTCTAAATGAGATTGGGGAACAAGCTTAGCCTATGTAAAATCCCTCACCCTCTCCCTCTCCCACTGGCAAGTTAAAACCACTCCGGAAATCCTTATGAACCTTCTCCGGAAAACACCAGTATCGAGTCCAATATTCCCTGGTTAGCGAGTCAGCGCCATACTCACTGAGCCACTACGGCCCCATCTTACAAAGAACATGATACTATACTTAACTAACTTACCACAGTCACAAATATCTCCGGTAAAACCATCTTCGCATGTACATGTAAAATCAAGGCCATGACCCGGAGTGCAATCTCCGCTATTCAGGCATGGGTTTGGATGACATGGATCAATAACTTGAAATAAATATAATTAGAATTCAAAAAGTCGGCTTTATTGTTTATACGGCTGAGTAACTGATTCTTTTTTATCAGATAACTGATGGGAAGGGCCGAGTAACTGATTCTATTTTATCAGATAACTGATGGGAACGGCTAAGTAACTGATTCTATTTTATCAGATAACTGATGGGAACGGCTGAGTAACTGACTCTATTTTATCAGATAACTGATGGGAAGGGCCGAGTAACTGACTCTATTTTATCAGATAACTGATGGGAAGGGCCGAGTAACTGATTCTATTTTATCAGATAACTGATGGGAACGGCTAAGTAACTGATTCTATTTTATCAGATGGGAACGGCTGAGTAACTGATTCTATTTTATCAGATAACTGATGGGAACGATCGACCCAGTAACACACTCTACGGCACGGTCAATATTCAACATTCTTGCCACTAAGGACTTGATCAGTCGAACTGTAGCACAGGTCCATTGCCAGGATTATAGCCCCCCCCCCCCCCATTTGTTTCCAAGTACAACCGTTAAGGGTTCTTTTATGTGCACATCCCATTTGATCAACTTAACACTGTTCCTTGCCAGCCCCTCCATCTTGCACCATTGCCAAGGCGAAGCCACAATGAAAAATCCCGGGAAAATTGCCGGATCTCTTGGTTAATGAGCCAACACGTCTCCCACTGGCTACAATCCCTCCAAGTTCCTATAAAAGTTCGAATCTTTAACTTACTTTAAGTCAATCACGCGTTCAAGCATTTATGTACTGTGGCATGTAAAAACTCACCTCAAATGACAAGGAGGGGGATCCCGTCCCATTGGAGCCGCTATACGGGCCTTTGATGAATTAGGGCTGCTGCCTTGAATAAAATACTTGGACCTACCTAGTAGGTAAATGATTCCCAGACCTGGCTAAAACCCGGCCTGCTACTGGGAGTTAGCAGAAGATGTACATGTATCTGTAACGTCGTGTATAATGTATACAGTATACTTACTTCCTGAACAGTCAGCCCCGGTAAAACCAGCATCACAATTGCAATAAAATCCGTTGATTACATTTATACAATGCCCATTGTGACCACACGGACTACTGTTACAGTTATCACTTACTGGAAGAGAAATATTTTTAAATGTTTATGATGAAATAGATTGGACAAAGACTGGATGACATAGACTGGGTTAAAGACTGAATGAAAGATGTTAACATTACATGTAGTTTTTTTCATCTTAAAGTAATATTTTAACAGAGGTGGGTGGAAAAATTTCGGATTATGGGCATTGCTGATTTTGCGCTAAAAGGCAGTCCATCTACTACATGTATTATAAAGAAAAATAGTCATCTTCTTCTTGGTCTGGGGCTTTACATCCACTGCCACCCTGGGTGATATCACAGACAAGTGTTTAAGGAGCCCTGTGGGGAAAGCCTGTTGAGAATAAGAGGCTCGTCTATAAATAGACTAATGGAAGAGCAAGTGGGAAATATTTCGCTCCATTTTCCTGGTTGTAGTTTCTTTAGGAACGATCTCTGATCGGACGCTGTCCTCTTACCGTTCCTGTTCGTCCGTATTAAGCTGCAATATGAAAATATCGCTCTACCCTTACCTCTGTTTGGAATCCTTAACTTGTATTTTCCGCGGTGGTTCTCTTGCCAAAAGGAATCATTCGTCGCCACATCTGACAAATTTATAAAAATACAACTCTATTTTCAAGTAGAATTTTGCTATTAGAGACATGCGTTCTGCGCATGTTCGGGTCTCGTAATTAGCGTATTTTGTTTATGTTTTTTAATCACATAAGTCTACTTGAAAACAGTGTTGAAATATTATAAATTTGAGTCAGATGTATTGAAAAAACCGGGTTCCTTGATACAAGTCAGTAAACTATACAGTGATGGCATGTAGGTGCCACCACAGCCCCCCCCCCCCCCCGGTCCAATACAAAATAGTCTCACCTGTAGCACATAAGTGACCTTCATAACCAGGTGGACATACGCAAGTAGTCGAAGGGCCATGATCTTGATTCACGCACTGTGCATTGTTATCGCAGGGGGAGTTAGTTGAGCACACATCCACTTCTGAAAATAAATTAAGGTTTAAATTATATATGTATATCTGTAGAGAACAAGAAACTGACTTCAAACCCCACCCCATTCTTTTCTGTACCCCTTTGATATTCGTGATAAAGCACATTAATTCCAAAATCAATAATTAAACCACATGGGGTGGGGGCTTGGGGCATGCCTTCTGTACCCACTTAATAAACCCGCAAACTTTCTTGACATTTTTGGAGTTAACTAAAACATAAGTGACAAATTACCACATTCGCAAGTTGTTCCTTCAAAACCACTTGGACAGTGACTACACGTAAATTCTGTTACACCATCAGTACATGTTCCACCATTACATGGGTCAGGGTGACAATCATTTATATCTGTAATTAAAACATTAAACCATCAGCTGAATCTGTAATTAAACATTAGACCATCAGCTGAATTTGTAATTAAACATTAGACCATCATCTAAATCTGTAATTAAAACATCAAATCATCATCTAAATCTGTAACTAAAACATTAAACCATCATCTGAATCTATAACTAAAACATTAAACCAGCATCAAAATCTGTAACTAAAACGTTAAACCATCATTCAAATCTGTAATTAAAATATTAAACCATCATCTGAATCTGTAATTAAAATATCATCTTAATCTGTTAGAACATTAAACCATCATCTAAATCTTAACTAAAACATTAAACCATCATTTGAATCTGTAATTAAAACATTTAACCACCATCTAAATCTGTAACTAAAACATTGAAATGCGCAAAACGCTTGTTTTTTCTGATCGCAAACTTCTACTTGAAAATATAGTTGAATTATTATAAATTTGTCAGATGTGGAGAGAAATGGTTCCTTTTGGCGAAAAAAGAGAATCACGGCGAAAAATAGAAGGTAAGGATTCCAAAATGTTAGAACATTAAACCATCATTTGAATCTGTAACTAAAACATTAAACCATCTTCTGAATCTGTAATTAAAATATTAAACAACCAGCTGAATCTGTAATTAAAACATTAAACAACCAGTTGAATTTGCAATTAAAACATTAAACCATCATCTGAATCTGTAATTCAAATATTTAATCTTCATCTATATCTATAATTAAAACATTAAACGACCATCGGAATCTGTGATTAAAACAGACGCCCTTTAATGATTGTCATTAGCATCGCCGCCATCATCATTATCAGTATATATACCTGTAATTAAACGATCAGAACTCCTATAATATCATCATCACCATCGTCGTCATCATCATTATCATCACAATCATCATATCTACCTGTAATTCAGAACTCCTATATTATCATCACCATCATCATCGTCATCATAATAATCATCATCGATATCTGTAATTAAGACATCTATTAAATCATCATATATATATAGATAATAAAATGGCCGTCTTACTTGTTTCACAGTTGTTTCCAGTGAATCCGTCATCACATTCGCATTGGAAGCTATCAATGAGATCAACACAAACTCCAGCATTACACGTCTCATTAACACAGTCATCTATATCTATAAACAAAATAAACCTTCTTTAGAGTGAATGAGTGGAATGGGGTTTAACGTCCTACTTTTCTTCACCAACGGGGAAAATGAAGAAGGGTATTCAACATACAGTGTGTTATGAGGAAAATTTTGCCCGGACAGCAACTGAATTACAACTGAATAAAAAATAAGAAGGCGCTATCCTTGCCAAGCCGTCCGCCCTACATCACTGACAGGGGTGGAGGGGGGGGGGGACCAAGCCGGAAAACTCCGAGAAACTTTCTCGGCTAAACCCTAAAGCTCCAGGTTAGCGAGCCAGGTCCATATGATAGGTTCTTGGTAAGGAATGTGGTAAGACAGAGTTCTCAGTATCAGTTGGGTATTCTTAGGATAAGCTCACTAAATCTGTGAAAAGCAATGCTATGAAGCAGAGGGGGTGGGGGGCAAATGCCTCACATCTCAGATAATTTCGTTTTTTGTAATGTTTCGAAAAATGAACAGAAACTCAACGGAATGCCAGAGGAACTTAAGAGCTTATAGCATCGGTAATTCGGTGTAGATTCATTTTTTAGCAATCTACTTAGGCAAGTATTAATAACCGCAAGGTTGTACCAAGGAACGGGTACCGTACATGACGTCATCCCCGACATCTTGGAATAGAAGTCTGTTAATCGATGCACAATTATCCAAGGAACAAATTTCATGTCGATTGTACTTGGTCTAGTTCCTGGTTAAAACATGAGTGAAATCCCTGAAATGCAAAGTGACGTTAACAGCAGTTATAAACCTGTAACGGTAAATCTCTTTGATCTTTGGGTTATAAATAACTTGCGGTCTGAAAGTCGGGGGAGGTTTTGGATATATACAGGGAAATTTGGGGTTATTCTTCTGAAAGTTTTTCTTTAAACCCGTAACGGGTTATTCTTCCAGGGTAGGTTTTATTTCCATAAGAAAACATGATATAAGGTTTTTCTTGTGGGAATTCTAGGATATTCTCATCTTGCGTACATATAAACATAGACGGTTTATAAGCAAGATAAAGTCCTGGACTTCGTTTATGCTGGGGAAGAATGAGTTCAGAAAAAACCCTCGACAGAAAAACCTCGGCCTACCGACCACGGTTTTTCTTATTCTCGGGTTATTTTCTTCATTCTTTCTTTCCCCAGCATAACCTCAGTCTCGTGCTTTATCCTACATGTAAAGAGATAACCTGCTTTCTCGGCCAATAACTTTTATTTTGGACTAATTAGTGATAGATTCTAGCCTTCATTTTCAGTAGATTATGAACCCAAAATCTTAGGCTAAAATTAAGGAATACATGTACATGTACGTTTCTCTCTCATATGAGACATGCCAACTTCCAAAAAATTAACATTTTAGACCTCACTGTTTGAAATATTAAGTGAGAAAATAAACTTACTTTGTTCACAAAAATCGCCTTCATATCCTGGAGGACATTTACATTCAAAACTGTTTCGATATTTTGGAATGCATTCGGCGTTGTTAGCACATGGAAACTGCCTACATGGCCTCGGACCATATGAGTGTCTGGGACGAGCAAAATATGGATGATAATGAAGGTGCACGTTATGGTGACCACCACAGTTTCGATGACCGCCGTACCAACCATTATGATTATAACGTGCACCGTGATGTCCACCATATCTGCTACACCCACCTGAAAGATATATATGTATGCATTTAAATTCGTAATCAAGTTCCGGTTGATATTAAACTGCTACATCTTATATCATAAACAGATAAATGAAATCAAAACCAATGGTGATCCTTTAATTCCCTGTCTAAAGGAAATGAAATGAAATGGGGTTTAACGCCCTAGTGATCTATCCCGATTGGGTTTTTGAAGACGGGGCATACGCCATACTGTGTGTTATGCGCCTATGAGCAGCCTTTTGGTTGGAATTCCAGCGCTATATAAGATGATGATGATGATTATTATTATTAGCATAATTAATAGTTATGTTCCAAAGTCTTAACCAATCAAATTTCTTATCGCTACTTAGCCGCCGCTGAAAATTCTAATCATCGAACTTAGTCAATGTATTGATGTAATGAAACTATACACGGAGTTCACACCTCTCACTCAATTAGAATCAAATTTTTCTTGTTCCAAAGTATCAACCTATCAAATTGCTTATCTCTGTTTGTCGCTACTTGGCCGCCGTTGAAAATTCTCATCATCGAAATTAGTCAATGCATTGATGTTATGAAACTATACGCTGAGTTTCACACCTCTCACCCAATTAGAATCAAAGTTTTCTTATTTCAAAGTGTCAGCCTATCAAACTGCTTATTTGTGCTTAGCGGGGGTAATCACTTAATAAACGCATACATGTACACAGGGGTGTAAATGTGGGGGTGGGGGGGTGGGGGGTACACCCCCCCCCCCCCCAGGAAAAAAAATAGTCGGTCGCAAAATCAGTGCAGTCGGTCGCAGAATAAGAGCAGTCGGTATCAAAATAAGTGCTCACTGCACACGTCACGCTACTCACGCAAAACTTTAGTATAAAATAACCTTATCAACTTATCATGTTTGAAAAAATGTTGTGTTCACTCTTATTCTGTTGTGAGTATGTTGGTCTAAGAACAAAATTTCCACGGGGAGAAAAATAGTCGGTCTCAAAATAAGTACAGTCACTGCAGTCGGTCTC